AGAGGCGAAGTCCCTTCCTTTCCGGGGGAGCTCCATGGGACCTTATTTCGGAAAAATTATGTATTGAAGTCAATGGCGAGAGAAAGATTATATTTGGATCCCGTTTGAATTGTGCCACGAATTACACGTATGATGTTTGTCAATTGAAAAGAGAATTTTGCAAGTCAAAAAAATAAAAATATGTCGTAAAACTGTGAAGTAACACTTTTTTTTTTTTGTGAAACGCTCAATGAACTACATCTCCCGTCTCGCACCACACACCAAGACGGCCGTCACGTTGGCACATTTCACTTCTTTCTTTCAGAATGAGGTGAAAAGTATTAAAAGACGTGAAAATCACTCCAAGTCTGGGCATGCTGAGAGCTGTACATACACACAAGGGGAGTTAGTCGGTTACGTAAGAGCCAGCATGCAGGACCGGGATTCTGGGATTTGTAGTCTTTCTAGTATTTTTCATGGTCTTATATTTCAACAGTTTTACGACAAACTGTGACTTTTTTGACATGGAAATTGTTTTTGTGTGTAATTCGTGGCACAATTCAAATGGGATCGAAAGATAAATGTTCTCTCCCCATTGACTTCAATACATAATTTTTTCCGAAATAAGGTCCCATGGTTCGGAAGTAGATGGGAGGGACTTCGCCTCTCTATAGTTGGGCTGAACTAAGTGTGTAGGTTCAAACATTTTAATCAGGACATTTTCAGCTCTGAATTTGTAATACACACACGACAAAAACATCTACATTTTAAAGGGCATTTTGTACTGGTATTCTTTTAAAACAAAATTAAGGAAATCCTGTAATACCGCCGTCTTTCCGGGTGTGTTTATCAGGCAAGTTGACATTACATGTTGTGCATTGTACAAAATCTAAACAAATTGAATTATTTTTGTCTGATTTCAGCTCATGGTGTCGGCTCTGAAGTGTGCTGCCTTTAACCTGATTTGGGCTAAAATTAACGCAGTCAAATCAACTCCAGCTGAGGTGCTCTTCTGCAGCAATGTTTCTTTTCTCCGACATTGCATTCACCCTTTTATAAGACGCTTAAAAATAGTTTGACCTTCTCTCACTCTTTCTCTCACACACACACACACACACACACACCTTGGCTCCTTCCTACCTGCTATCGATCAGAGCAAACCCTCAGTGTGTCCTTCCTGTGTGTTTGTGGAGCTCCTGTCGTCTGTGTTGTTCAACAAGTCACCGGCTGCACAAACAGCAGGCAATTAACACAACAATCTGTTGCGTTTCCAAGCCCACGATGACACTCAGACATTTATTTCCCACTGGTTCACACTTTTTCATTCTGTTTCTTTGAATTAATTAGTTATTTTTCCTCCTCTCTTGAGCTAATTTTAACCACTTGTTTTACAGTATTTCTCTCACTTTCTCACGCATTAAGAGATTATTATTATTATTGATTTGGGTGTTAACATAAACCAGAGTTTGAGAAAACGCATGCTATCTCCTCCTTGTGTTGCATTTTGTCTTTCATGTATTAATAGCAGCACAGGTTGGCAGGTTCTTCACACACACAAACACACACACACACACACTCTTGTAGGCTAGAACAGCAGCTGAAATTATGGTGACTTTAATTTGTGACTCATCACTTTATCAATGTCTACTTTGACAACAGGACAACAGCACTTGTGTAGCAAAAATAGTTTTTTCTTTCCTTTATCCATCATCAAGAATCAACATGTATATTTTCTACTTTCTTGTTTATTTCTTGTCTTTTATTTTTATTGTACAATGCCTTGTCTTTTTCTGCTGCTGCAACACAAACATTTCCCAAATTGGGATCAATAAAGTACTTCTTATCTTATAATAAATTGCCACGGTGACGCGTCCTAAAACCCGGGAGTAAGTTAGCATTTTACCACTTTCGGTTCCTTGGACAAAAAAGCAATGCAATTTCTCCATAGGATTTTGGAAAATAGCTGGAAATAAGGTCTGTGGTTGACACACATTTAAGAGACGGATCACACTCAAAAAAATAACTCTTTGAATGAACG